CTGTCTATCTATCTATCTATCTATCTATCTATCTATCATCTATCTTTCATCTATCATCTATCTAGCTCTATATCTATAAATCTATCATCTATCATTATCTATCTATCCATCATCTATCTGTCTGTCTGTCTATCATCTATCTATCTATCTGTCTGTCTGTCTATCATCTATCTATCTTAGCTCTATATCTATATCTATCCATCTGGCTAGCTATCTTTATCTGTTTATCTATCTATCTATCTATCTATCTATCTATCTATCTATCTATCTATCTCTATATCATCTATCTCCCCTCTTTATCTAAGTGTCTGTCTGTCTATCATCTAGCTAGCTAGCTAGCTCTATATCTATCTATCTATCTATCTATCTATCTATCTATCTATCATCTATCATCTATCTATCTTTTATCTCAGTGCGATTCCCACCATGTTAAGGAAGCCCAAGCTGAAACATTAAGTTTCAAAACCATTCAGAAAACACAAGTGCGATGGTGACAAAGATGACAAAGGACTTGAGGACATGCCTCCGAAGACAAGCTGAAGAAACTTGGTTTATTCAGCATAAAAAAAGATGATTGAAAAAGGTTATAAATGACAGTTACCTAGATTGTGTAATGCACAGGCTGTGAGAGTCGGACCATAAGGAAGGCTGAGGGCTGAACAACTGATGCTCTCAGATTGTGGTGTTGTGGAAGACTCCTGAGTGTCCCTTGGACTGCAAGGGATGGTCGATCCTAAAGGAAAGCAACCCTGATTGTTCTTGGGAAGGACAGAGAATGACGCTGACACTCAAATACTTTGGCCACCCATTGAGAAGACTCCTGGGAAAAGACCCCGATGTTGGGAAAGATGGAAGGCAAAAGGAGAAGGAGGACAGCAGAGAATGAGATGGTTAGGTGGTGTCATCAAGGTAATGAATGTTAATTGGGGCAAATTCCGGGGGACAATGGAGGACAGGAAGGCCTGGTGCACTGTCGCCCATGGGGTCACGAAGAGTCAGACATGACTTAGCCACTGAACGATAAATAATAATCTAGATTTTATTTAAACATAAAGGGAAAAAATCCAGCCAGTAAGATCTATGTAACAGTGGTGTAGCATACTTATGAAGGTTGTGAGTTTTCCATCTCTGGAAAGTTTTCAGAAAAGGCTGGATTGCTACTTCTCATGGATGCCTTAATTGGTTTGCTTGAATACTATCGAGGATTGGACTGGAGATCCCTTCCAGTGCCGTAACTTTATGATTCATAACCTTACTCTAACCAGTGGCCAGACTGATGACGGCTTGGCAGATTTCTTCACAAGTTTTGGGTCAATGCAAATATTTTATCTAGATTATTTTTTTTCTCTCTCCCCCCCCTCATCTTTCTCTCTCTATCTCTCTCATCTCTATCTCTCATTCTCTGTCTATGTCTCTCTCTGTCTGTCTGTCTCTTTCTCTCTCTCAATCTATCTATCTATCTATCTATCTATCTATCTATCTATCTATCTATCATTTATCTTTCTATCATGTATTTATCTATCCAACCATCTATCCTATGTATCATCATCTATCCTTCTGCCAAACCCCCAAACTATTAGAATTTCTACCAGGAAGAGTAAACATTGGAATTTAACATAAGACATGTGAGATTTTCTTTTGCATATGATAGATAGATAGATAGATAGATAGATAGATAGATAGATAGATAGAT